GAGAGAGAGAGAGAGATTAAGACCCGCATAAAATATGCAATGAATACATTACATTCACTAAAAAATCTATACAGTAACAGTTAATATTAATAATTATTTATATTTGTCATTATTAATCGTTCAATGTAAAAAAAAGAAATTAAATAAGGCCAATAGATTAAAAGTCGCATTATTCTAATTATCTGCAATATCACAGTACTTGCTGAAACATACAAATACACGTTTCCAATAGGCACAAAAGCCAATATCAATGAAAATGGCAAGCACAATAGTTTTCTTTTAGTAAACATACTATATACGAGTATATATTGCCTAGCCATTGGTCGCTTTGTTTCTCTTTTCTCAATTCGTAATCGTCACGTAATTCGTAATTAATACATTCAAACAATGATATTCCACTAAAAATTAGTTTCACATCTCTCTTAAAAATTAATATACCAAATTTGTCACCATAATTTATAATGATTTACATTACAAAAATGGTCGAAATCTGAACTGTAGAAATATTTTGTCATATTGTAATAATAACTCCTATAGCAGTTATACCGTGTGAAAACATGATGAATGCCCACAAATTTGAATTTTATGATTATATATCATTTTATCTTTTACAGTTTTGGATAGTTCTTAATTCAGAAAGATCTGTCTTTACAAAAAAGAGGAATTCATCCAATGATTTTTCGATTATAATAAATGAGAAAGGCAAAAAAGAATAAAAGAAAGGAAAAGGAAAAATCAAGTTAGAAAACAAACAAGTATGATATGTTACTGAAATTAAGGAACAAACGTGAGAGTTTCCATTTTATGTATGACCATTGTTCTTTTTCTCCTTCTCATGTAAAATATAGCATGATATGTGTGTGTACGCACGCACTTACACATGGATTCACGCATGCACATACGCACGCACACACAAACCGCATACACAACACACACACACACAACACACACACACGCGCGCGCGCATTTTTATGATTGACATTACCCTATCTACTCATCGATCCAGAAGAAACTCTTTCAAATAATATTTACAAACACAGATTTCTTTCAATAAAATGTACGAAAAATTACGTCATTATTGACTTGGTGAATACAAAAAGTTCTAAAATTATTGTCATACGTAAACTGGACCTTGATTATCATTATCATCCAAACTTATTCGACTAGGATACGCAGGACCACCACCATCATCAAAGAAACGCCTAAAAGTGAATTCAAAGAAACCATGAAATGGTTTCCCATTATCTAATAATTCGTCAGATTTGTTGGAATCAGAGGATTCCGAATTCCGTAATTTATCAGGATCCACAGGATCAAAATTACTCGTATCCGTAGGATATTGTATCCGAGGTATGTGTGGAGCTACTTGTCGACGCAATCCCTTCTCAAAATCAATACTTGCAAAAAATGGATGACTTTTTACTTCATCTGCGTTCTTACCTAACCGACGATCTGCACCAACGCATAACTTTAATATTAAATCCATACCTTCTGCAGATAAATTAGCTTGTTTCGGGATGTGTAGAGTTGTTTCCCAATTAATTACCTGCAATATACAATGTAACTCAATGTATCATATAAAAGGTTTGATGACAAAACAGCAAATAAATATGCATTACACTTACCTTATATTGTGTCTCAGCTGGAGTGTTAGCAAGAAAAGGAGGAGAACCAACTAACATTTCATACAAAATTACACCAACACTCCACCAATCGCACAATTGTGTGTATCCTGTCCTTTGTAATACCTCTGGCGCGATATAATTTGGTGTTCCAACCAAGGAATGCGCTAAGCATCTTTGATGCTCTCTGTGTCTTCTACGCTCCAATGGTTTTAGTTGGATACAACGACATTCATTGTTCCAATCGTCAGCAGGATCCATTGAATCTTGTTTTCCATGTCCTGCTTTTTATGATAATATTGTTATAAATTTATATACATATGTATATAGTATTTAAGTAGAAATACATATAGACACACACATATACAGATTGAAAGAATAAATTGATTAATTGAATACACACCATTTTGTTGATAATACTTAGAGTTATGAGTCCAACGAAATCCTGTACATAGGCCAAAATCTGTTAATTTTATATGTCCATCTCGATCAATTAAAATATTGTCTGGTTTAATGTCTCTATGTATGAAACCCATTTTATGAACACTTTCTACCGCGCACGTTAATTCAGCAATATAGAATCTTGCCAAAGGTTCCTTGAAAATGCCAAACTTGATTAACAGTGACATCAAGTCACCACCAGGTATATAATCCATTACAAAATATAAATTGTCCTTATCTTGAAAGGAATAATAAAGTTTCACAACCCATTCATTATCAGCCTCTGCCAATATATCTCTTTCAGCTTTAACATGAGCAACTTGATTACGATTTAAGACATCTGCCTTCCTTAAAGTCTTCATAGCATAAAACTGATTTGTATCCAGTTTCCTGACAAGCGTCACTTCTCCAAATGCGCCAACTCCGATCGGTTTAATTTTCGTAAACATGGATTTATCCATTTTTGCACGCTTCAATCTAATGTAATTCGATTCTTTTTGTGACAACATTTTCCGCATTTGACATTGAGCTTCTGCGCTAAGACCAATCTTAGCCATTTCTGTTTCTAATTGAAGTCGACGGTATAATCTTTGTTTATGAGATTTTAATACATTTTCAACATGTTGTTCCATAAAAAATTTAAATGCCTGGGGAGAATAATTACGGACTTTGCAATCTCTACGTTCTTCCTCTTTCTCTTTACTCATATGCTTCCGCTCGGGTATCGGAGACTGATGCTTGATCTTGTAAGATGAAGGTGATGAACCAGCACTTTTTGCTCCATTACTATCTGGTGAATGATTATTATTATTATTGTTATTATTGTTGTTGCCACCATTACTGCTGTTGCTGTTATTACCACTGTTCCCAATATTGTTATTAGTCCTCAAAGACATAGATGTAGACGTTACCGGAGGTAAAGGCGGTGCTTCCGTAGAATGTTGACACCCGTCTACCGGTGAATATTTTCTCTGCAATGGAGAATGTAGAGCAACCGGAGATGATCTAAGAGTTGTATTATTATCCATCGTTGACATGCAGTTAGAATCCTCATTTGTAGTTGTTCCATATGGGGGTGGAGGAACTGGATGGTGCATGCCTCGTTGTGCAGCTAATGCTTGCATTGTTGTTGCATAACTAGGCGGTTCTGTAGTAGGTACTCCTACTGAAACACCCACGTTTATATTGTTTGTTGATGTTGTGCCCACGTTATTTACTGGTGGATAAGCAGGTGGTGGTGGCTGCGTTGATTGTTGCTGCTGTGGCTGTTGCTGTTGCTGCGGTTGTTGCTGTTGTTGTTGTTGCTGCTGCTTTTGTTGGATAGATGATGCGTAAGATGGTGGAGGTGGAGGTGTGTTACTAGAAGTGGAAATCGGTTGTGGAGAAGTTGGTGCGACAGCAGTTTGCAATACGGGTTTTTGTACTTGAGTACTTTTAACAGATTGCATGATAATGGGTGGTTGTGTCTTTGCCTGTCGCGCACCCCAAGCTTGTAACGGTGTAGGTCTAGCCATGGATGCTTGTGTATTTGGGGATATAGCGGTAACAGTTATTGGACTTGGAGAACCAGCTGATGTTGGACCAGAATAGATTCCAGAAGAGGGACTTTTACGATAATCTTGTTGTGTAGGACTTTGTCTATTTTGTATAGAGGCACTGTATGACGGTGGTTGTACCGGACCAGCCGACGAAGAAGAGACTATGGGATATGGAGGCGGTGGTTCAACTTGAGTATTAGTATTGTTGCCCGTTTGATAAATACTGAGAGCTTGCATTTGTTGAGAAAGTTGCTGCTGAACTTGCGGACCATTTTGAACAATCATAGGTTGACGACAATTTGAATTATTATTGGAACTCGCTACCGGACTTGTACCTCTTTGCGGTAGATTGACTGCTGTAGAAATCGGGCCAGTATTACCAGGTGTGGTAGGAGGTGGCCGCGTTGGAACGACTGGAGCAGGAGACATCCGTTTAAGCATTTGCTGCATGTTAGTAGGTACATTTGGCTGATTATATGGGGTGTGAGGCGGTGGAGGTGGCGGTGGTGTAGAACTACATCTAGGAGGTGGAGGAGGAGGTGGTTCTCGTTCTACGAAATTGCTCGGAGAATATTGTCGACTCAACTGCGGATGTGGACTAAGTTCCGTTAATCGTGGACTATCAGATCGTGAGCTTCCTGCACCACTGTCTAGTGCAGGGCTACCACGTTGTAAACTCAACTCTCTTTCCAAACTAGGTTTTCTTATTAACTTGCTGTTAAGTTTACCAAGACCATTCAAAGATTCTCCCTGTGCCTGTTTTAGAAACTCTATAGCTGCATCTAGACGCCAACCAGCTAACTTCAATGCACGCAGTGCAATTTCCTGTACATACATGATATAAAATTTTATTATAAAATATTAATTATCAGTTTTGTTAAATAAAGTTGACAATAAATGATATTTGTTTAAAAATGGATCCACATACCTCTGAATATCCCATTGCTAATAACTGAGCTAACAATTGTCGTTGGTCAGATTTGTCAATGGTAGAACTCGAAGCTGCAGAAAGACCACTAAGTCCTGAAGCAGAACTAATACCACTGGTCGTAGATAAAGTAGATATAGTACTAGCAGCACTGGAACCTACTTCTCCTGTTCCTCCAATATTTGCAAACGGTAGTAAAGAATTGCGAATTTCAGCTAAAGCCTTTTGATGATATCCAGAGCCACGAGTGCTCGATTTACTAACCGTGGGTGGATTCATAGTGGCCCATGCTAGGCCTTCTCAGACCTAGCTTTAATCCGGCTGTGACATATATATATATATATACATACATCTAAAACATAATATCAAGTTATTTTCTTACAATGCTGTAACATTCATATAAGATCTTGATATATTTATTATACAATATCATACCAAATGATTTTAATCTTTTTAAAAATATTTCAAATTCTAATCACTAAATTACTAATTTATACTTATAAAATTATCTAATTAATTACTTGATTAACTGATTAATTGTATATATATAGTATAAATTCTTTAATTTTATACTATGATTCTAATATTGGCTTAATAATAATAGATGTTAAAAATTTTTGTAATATTATTAGTGTTAATATTATATATTACATAAAATATAAACATTTGATATGAAAAATGTCATGTTCATTATTAGGAAATTCCTTATCAAGATATTTGTAATTACGTACACAATAATATAATAATCATATTAATAAATTGATAAATATTAAGATATATTATTTGTTACAGAAAATATTAACTGCTTTTTATGTTATTTTACTTATTTCTCTATTATTTTTGTTTAACACACTTTATTTGAAAATTTCCTTGCAATTATTAAATATAAACAGCTTTATGTGTAGTACAAATGATTTTTCATATCTTTGTATTTAATTTTGAGATTCATAAAAAATCTAACCTATTCATTAGATGCGTAACAAATTGATCCAAAAAGTCTTTTGTAAAATGAATTACAATAACACACACTTTCTTTGTAAATCAGAAAGCATTAACTAAAAAATTTCTTGAAATAAATTTAACAGCAATCAAGAAAGAATGTCTTCAGAGCATATTCTATTCTCACGTTTCCATGGAACCTATGTGATAAGGTTAACGTACACATAAAACTTTTAATTCACTATTTTCCCTTAAAACTAATTCTATGGTATTCCAACATACAGTCGTAATTACTACAGTAACAACAAAGAAAGGTACAGCCGTAAATTACTAAAGTAACTGGCAGCCATTTTGAAGTGCCACATTCCTACACCGACTTGACACTCTTTTTCGTAATTTACGATATGCACTAAGTTCATGCGCGAAAAAACAAATAGCTTTTTACAATTAAAGCTATTATATGTTTAACAATTAATGTTTATCTGTTCAAGAAAATGAGAAATTTCCTAAAAGCTTATGTGAAGAAAAGATTGTTCATGCAAAACTTCACTTAGTGTTTTACAACTATCTTTTCGTGCCGAATGAATGTCAACATTATGTCAAACGTTTCTTTCTTTCTAATTTAATTTTTTTCTAAATTATTTTCTACACCTTTACTTAACATTTAAATTTATTTAAAGTTAGAATTTTTTTTAAATCTTCTCTCCTCTTGTTCTTAAATATTCACTATATTTTTATTGCCTTTATGACTTTAATAATTAGTTATTTTGAAACATAGGACTTCATTATTATTACCATGTTTAACTTTAACATTTGCAACTAAATTAATATAATTGTAATTCATATCAAGTTTATAGTACATAATTTAATCATTTGAATAAATGAATTGAAAATATGAAAGTAATAATATTATTCTAATCATTTCTTAACTAATATATACATAATTATTTATATACAAGATATAAATCTAAATAATAAAAAAAGAATAAAATTAATATTGTTTCTTTATTATTTAGTATACACTATCGTTGTATTTAAATGTCATCATGAAATAATTTTCCTATAGATGTATCGAAATTCTTAATATATGTGTTATTCAGTTTTAATCATTTTCTTTAAAGTAACTATGAATTAAACATATTTACGAAATATGACAACTGTATAAATATAACATATAACTAAGATTCGCTTTATATAAAATATTTTTTTATATTTTTATACTATATTAATTTGCCATTTATTGTTATTATATTATTTTTTACCATTTTCAAATAAGTGTAAAATATGATATTTGAATTTTCTAATTTTATTTAAATATCAGCTCTTCCACGTTAAAATCATTGATCAAAAATATAAAATTATTTTAAATATATATTTAACATATCGCTTGTAAGTGTATTTTATTAGTTTTTTTTTGTCTTATTATTGATAATTTTTTGTGTAACGTGTCAGCATGTAAACATCATGTTTAATTAAATTTTACATTTAATTAAATGATATTATAATTTCATAATATAATACCTTTAATTTTAATGAAAGGTACAAATGAAACAAACACGTTTATCTTGTTCAAATTGTAGTTTTTAAAATAAGAGTTATATTTTCGTAATATTGTAAATCATCATATCAAACATATATTTTAAATATAACTTGGCATTGTAATATCACTATTAATTTAGAATACTGGGAGCCCCTTTTTATTGCTATGTTGTCACGTAAATATTAATATATTTATCATAAAAAAAACATTAATTATTACCATATAGAAAAACACCAAATGATAATCATTAATCAGCTTTTTATATTGTATAATTCAATTTTGTATGAAACGAAATAAATTCGGACGGAGAATATCAATATAAAATATAGTATGTCATAAGATGAACCATAGAAATCAAATTTTACATACTTTAAATATAGTGATAATAATATAATTCATTATAAATTAAATTTAAATTTGACAAATCGAATAGAATAATATTTTTATGTAATCTAACAAATTAACAACAAATTTATATACTACTAAATATTTAATATTTAAAAGAGAAAAATAACATTATTATGGTTGCTCATGTTATGTGTTTAACCTCTACTGGTGGAATTCCTTTGTTTTCTCGTCAAAAAGGAGAAGGAGATACAGTAAATTTGATATAATATAATGATATAAATAAAAGTACAATATACAAATTTATGTAATACCAATTTTAATTTCGCCTTTTTTTAATGATTCTTATAGATGACATTTTCTAAAATAGCATCTCTATATGGAATACATATGTTTCTCAAATCACAAAACATAAGACTTTGGAGTACAAATTTACCTGATACTATGATAATGTGGAAAGAGTTTGAACAAAGTGTTACATTAATAGTTATTGCAAGTGGAACTACCAAATCTGTATTAGCTAAGTTTCTTAATGCTGTTTTTGGTGCAATGATTTTGTTTGTTGGTATTGAAGAACTAAAAAGTACAAAAAATATTGAAAAATTGAAGAAAGATGTACGCTTATGTAGCCCAATTGTTGATAGTTTATTACAATGTCTTGATGTTGGAGATGGAATTTGTTCAAAAACTGATATTATTAATATGACAGAATGTATAATGTGCCAGGAAAATAGTTTATTTCAGGTAATTCATTAATTTGTTTTAGAAATATTTTAAATTCATGAACTTATAAATAATCTATTTAAGACATGCTTGGAAGGTTATATGGAATGCTTGGACTCTATATATGGATGTATCTTAATACATGGATGTTTAGCAGTAGCTACAGAAGGATGGTGGAATTTAAATCCCATAGAAAGAAAATTATTAATAATAGCTGTTAATACAGAAGATACTTATACTACACGAGACATTCCAGTATTTCTACCTTATAAAAGTCCAAATGTGAGTACATTTTGAACATATTTTAGAAATATAAGTGCAATATAATGATGTGACTTACAAACAAAATAAGTTCAATTTATTGTGGGAAATGATGTAGGTGGCTTTCAGATTAGTGTCTATAACATTAATTAATCAAGTTGAAGTATTAGCCTTATGTGGACCAAATCCAGATTTATCAGAAATTGAGAAATTTGCTGTACAATGTTGGAAAAATAGTATTGACGCTTTACACACTGCAGAGCAATGCTATCCACAAAATTTACCTACATCTGTAAATTTAGATTCAGAGACACTTGGGTAATAAAAATAGTAACATTTAATATAAATTTAATATAAATAAATAATTAATATAATATTAATCTTTTTTTTTATGAATAGATTTCTTTTAACAAATTATAAGATACAAAAATTTATACTTGGTAAAAATATGCAGTATGCAAAGAATAGAATCAGTGGATCCCACAGGTTGGATATATTAAGAACATTTTATCATCAAGCTGTTGAAGCATATATATTATCTTCAGAATTTGAATGTAATACAACAGATGATAGTTGGAAATTTGTTGGTACAAAGGAAACTTATTTATGTTCAGAATACCACAAATGTTACGCAGTTAAACATGGAGATCATATACTTTGCATTTTATGTGCTTCTACAGTTCCTACTCATACAGTGAGATCAGTTTGTCAAAAAATATTGAAAGCATTACTTTTTGATAAACATGGTTGTTGGTAAAATATTAATATGTTTATGTTCATTTATAATATTCTATTTATCATTATTATACATTATATATTACACATTAAATGACTTTATATCTGGATATTATGTTTTTATTAATCATAATCAAGTATTATCATGGTAACAAATATACAATATAATAATTATTTGTAAACTAGTGTTATATGTGTTCCATTGATATGATTAGTGTATAATGTAATAGCTACAATATTGTGCAAAGTATTGTATCACCGATGCATTCATTAAAAATCAGGTAAAAGATTATGTATCAATTATAAAGACTTTGGATATATCTGTAGTAAAGTGTCACAATTTTGTATTTGTCAAATAGATTTTTACACACGTGTCTATTACATATAAAATATATGTTCATTGACAATATATAATATAGACTATCTAATTGTTACATTACTTTATAAAAACAAAATATCGATGAAACTTTTGCTTAACATGTGCACAATTCGTAAAAATTTAATATTATAAAAAATGCAGACAGACGTGCATTATATTCTTCTACTTTCACTAGTGAAGTAGCAGAAAAAGATTGAATATAGGGAATAATGTAGTTTGGATCTGATATGATGCTGACAAAGGCAAGGGTGAAGGTGAAGCAACCCATTTAGCTTTCTTAAAGGGATGATTCTTATATAAGTGTTACAAATTTTATCCATTTTTATTACTTTTTTTTAACTAAATGTTTTCTAAATTTATTTAAGTATTCCCTGTGGCTCTTTTTTCGAATGACATTTGCGGTCAATTGATATGAAATTTGGAGGTAATAGAGTAGAAGGGAAATGAATGCCAAATATAGAATTTTGGCTGCGGGAATTTAATAATTTCCAGTTTGGTTATTTCTTATTTCATCGCCAAGTGATAAATTTGACATAGAAGGAGCAAACCCATTTTCCATGGAACATCTTATATATATACTCATTAACAAAATCAAAGACCGTGCTGCCACTGAAACATTATACATATATTTCTAGTGAAAATCTGATCGACGACGCGTGAGTTGCTACATAACAAAGATGTTTGTGTCCGTATATATACATTTAAGCGGCGGTGTAATGTATATGTATAATTCCCAACATTTCTTTGTTAATATCTTCGAAATTATTTTATTCTCAAAGCTAAAATTTTATATTTGACATGTATATTCTCTTCACGCTTATATCAAGCATGTACTTATCACTGACATAAGTGATTGTAATACTCAGGGTTGACTAAAGCAAAAAAATATTTCTATTCAGTAAGTTTACACTTATCACTCAGATCAAAATAATTATTTTATATTGAAAACTAGGAAAATGACGAAAACTTAAATTAAATATTCCAAAATTTTTATATGTATTTTTAATTTTTCTAACAAGAAGGTGATAAATTTATTATAAAAATATGACTGTGATTTCAGCAAGACCTACTAGTATATAGAACAACATAAAAATTTCAAAGTAATCAACCATACAGTTTTTCAGATTTTTCCTATATCAGTGGAAGAAATTACATTTCAAGAAAAACGCATTTAAAATTTTAAGTTTGAAAAATCATTACTTACAATACTAATCAATCCCAACAATACATTCGGAAATATATATATCTTTCAAAAAAATGGAATAAAAAAATAAACTAATTTTTGAGGCCTTCATGAGAACGACTCCTCAATGCAAAAGTAAAATGGTTTCCACGTTTCATCTGTATATCTGAAAGGTCTGATTATGGACTACGATGATTTTTACTTCTTAATAATTGCAAATTTCGTCTATATTAATGAGTAATACTATGAAAATCAGAATCTAATTATGAGTTTTATAAAAAGAACTGCAATTGATATACAATTATACGATACAACAGATTTTTATATAGGTTTAAGTTTAGCAATTAGTTCTAGTGTTTTTATAGGTTAATTGACATTTAATAATTTGAGTTAGAAATTTATTAATATAATATTGATTATTGTATAATATTATAATCATTTAGGTGCTAGTTTTATTATCAAAAAAAAGGCACTAATTCGACTTCAAAAACGCGGTGCATTACGAGCTTCATCCGGAGGATTTGGATATTTAAAAGAATGGATGTGGTGGTTTGGTCTTTTTTTAAGTACGTAAAGTAGAAAATACTTGAATAACAAAAGTATATTCAAGATCAAGTTCTTGTTGTGTATATTAATAAAGCTTATATTTAAGAATTACAAAATTTACTATAAAAAAATTTATTTATGCTAAAGTGGGAATAGGAGAAGTAGCAAATTTTGCTGCTTATGCATTTACACCAGCTTCATTGGTTACTCCGTTAGGAGCATTTAGTGTTTTAATATCTGCAATATTAGCATCAAGATATCTAAATGAAAAACTTAATTTACTAGGAAAGGTAATGACATAATATTACAAGATACTATATTTCATGAATTATAAAATGATATAATTCATGTTGGATATATTTAATGAAATAAACATAGTTCTATTTCAGATTGGTTGTCTTTTATGCATTTTGGGTTCTACAGTTCTTGTAATTCATTCTCCAAAGGAAGAAGAAATTAATACATTAAATGAACTTTTAGACAAAGTCAAAGATCCAGGATACATTATTTATATATTCATTGTGATAATATGCAGTATTCTAATTATTTTTTATATTGGTCCTGCCTATGGAAAGCAAAATATCATGGTCTATATTTATCTATGTTCATCTGTGGGTTCATTAACTGTAATGAGTTGTAAAGTACTCAGACTAACTTTGAAAGAAACTATGCTTGTTTTCGATAATGGATTTACAAATTGGTTAACATGGGCTTTTTTATCATGTGTTATAGTTTGTATTAGTATACAAATGAATTATTTAAGTAGATTGCTTGATTTATTTGAAACTACAATTGTAACACCTATTTATTATGTATTCTTCACAACATTGGTAATCTTTGCATCTGCCATACTATTCAGAGAATGGGAAAATATGGGTGTTGAGGATATTTTAGGTTCATTTTGTGGTTTCTTAACTATAATAATTGCAATATTTCTGTTAAATGCATTTAAAGAATTGGATATATCTTATAAAGATATCAGACATATATTTCAGCCAAAAAAAAAACTAGTTACAAGTAGCAACAATCAATGGAGCAGTAGAAATGAGGAAAGACTAATTACAAGGCTAGAAAAAGAATTAAACCACACATATGAGGCTCAAGCTTTAACAAAAACTGTATAATAACTATATATGAAGTATGTACATATATATAATGTAAAACAATAAATAGTTTATATTTAATTTGTTCTTATAACTGTGAACATACAATAGTATCAATAGGAAACAATTTGATGAATATATTAGGTTGTGGGAGTACAAATTAAAATAAATCTTACAAACTCTAGATACTTTTTGTATTTATGGAGCTTAAAAATTATTGTTCTTTATAGATTTTTTCATTACTGTATATTTAACATTGTTCCTTAAAACTTTGTCTATTTTTCTACATATTGTATCCTAGTACTTTTTTAATTCCTTTCCTTTTATAGATATAATTAAAAAAATAATTTTATGATTTTGTAGTAACGTTAATGTTATTATAGTGAAATATATTTTGTATTAAAATGAATGTTATAAAAGTTACACCAAATATTTCGAAAATTGTTAATATAAATTGTGTCTAATGTAATTAAAAAAAAAAATATTTTATGCTATAAAATACAATGTACTGGAATTTTTTTTATTATTTTGATTAATAATTTTGTTATTCAAGATGCATACCGTCCTATTGAATTTGTACTTAAATAGAAGTAAAAACATTCCGCAATGGTAACGTTCTGATTACATCTCACTAGGAAATATGATGACATAAAAAATAATATTACATACAAATAATATATATGTATTTATTTATCCAAAATGCAATTTCTTATTCATAAGTCAATTTATATTTATCGAATCAATATAATATAACCATTACGTTTAATTATTACAATGGCGTTCAGTTTGGCTGCTTCTTCATACATCGTGGCTTTAATAGTAGATGCTTTTTTACTTATTTTTGCGATATTTCATGTATGTGCTATTTTTGAACTACGACGACTATTTTTTATACAAACTAGTAACTAAAAACGTTTATATGATACTATAATATAAATTATTTCTAACCTTAGCGCTGTAGATATAAAGTTGAATGATTTTGGCTAAAGATACATATTCTATTTTTCAGATTATTGCATTTGATGAATTAAAAACTGGTTATAAAAATCCCATTGAATTATGTAATAGCTTAAATTCGGTAAGGCATCAAAATTCAATTTTTGCAATATTTTTTGCATCAATAATAACATCAATAATCAAGATTTCAATTATATGTATATAAATATTTCAGCTAATTATTCCAGAATATGGATTACACATTTCAATCAATATTTTATTTTTACTTAGTAGACAATGGCTTTCATTGTTTCTAAATATTCCATTAATAATCTATCACTTATGGCAATATTATCATAGACCTATTATGTCTAAACCAGGTCTTTATGATCCCACTAGTATAATGAGTGCCCAAGCTCTTAAAATTCACCAAAGAGAAGGATGGTATAAACTTACATTATATTTTCTATCATTTTTTTATTATTTATACGGGTAAGTTTTAGTATATGAAAATATAGTTAACTTATTATATATGACACTTTTAGTAAAAGAACATATATGTCCTACTTTGTTTCAGTATGATTAGTTCATTGATTCATTGAAGAAACTATCCATTATTCAATAATAATTGTTTATAACATATCTTCAATAATAATTGTTTATAATATACCTTCGATTTAATGTACTTTACAAAAAATATTTGTTGTTATATAAAATACAAGAAAAAATATTTTATTTGTTGAAATGTGTCAAAATTTTGTATAGAAATAAAAGTTCATATTCAATCAATATTGTTTTTTCCTGTAGTAGTTGTGCAATTAAAATAATTCACTATATTAATATTAAGAAGCAGAAATAATTTTTATCTATTTATCTTATACATATTAATATACATACGTATGTATGTATGTAATATTTATATGAATATTTAATAATATATAATAGTATTATGAATATTTTTATTCGTGTTATTATTTTTTTTATTCTGGAAACTTGTAAATAATTATTAATGCGTTCAATATGAAATTGCAGAAGAGACAAGAGTTTCAACTAAATATCTAACCTTACCTTGCGCAATATTTGCCACACTCTATTTAAAATAATATGGGAAGTAGATTCTAACCTCACATTTTCTTGGGGTGAGCTGTTGTAACATCATTTAATGTGTAACATTTAAAATACGTAAAAAATTTATTAATGATATAAAATATTTTATATAATCTTCTGTATTATTGTTATATTAATCTTGGTAGTGCATATCGTATAAAAATGCCAACTATTAATATCAAACGTGATTTATTATTCAAAGTTCTTGGCAAAACATATTGTAAGTTAAAAATATTCAAATATAATATAATTTCAACGATAATTTAATTGTATTATTTTTTTTATATTTATAATTATCTTAACTAAATATTTGTTAATACGATTGTATAAAATATCTAAATATTCATTTAAGTATTGTGATTTTAGCGGATATCGAGTTTCAAAACTTATGTTTCAAGTTTGGATTAGAATTGGATGAAGTGGTATGGAGTTCATATTACTAAATATTATTAAATATAATGTATATCTAAGTATCTATTATTTTACAAACGACTTCAATTAAACTTTAATTTCCAGATAAGAGAGAAGCAGATAGTTACAAAGGAACAAAATCTATATCACAAAACAGAAATATCAGAAGAAATTATTTATAAAATTGAAATACCAGCAAATAGATATGACTTATTATGTTTAGAAGGTTTAACACTTGGACTTCTTATATTTTTAAACCAGTATGTATATGTGTAATATATATTTTGTTTTTCTGTTATTTTTATGCACTTTCTTTTCACTTTTCCTACATTATCTTTGCATTTTTCAATGTTTTATGCATATATATTTATAAATGACAATAGTTAATTATTACACACCAATAAAACTATTTTATTAATGTATATATGTGTACAAGATATATATATATATGAATCTTATTTTTATATGTATTCATAATGTCCTTATAATGAATTATTTTGTTTTTTTTTTTACATTAAAATTGTATTGTTATTTAAAGAATTTTATCAGGAGTTTATTAATAAAATGTATTATAGTGATAAGCATATATTTATATGGCTTATATGTCACTGTTATACACATTTAAAAAATTATTTTAATATAGAGTGGATATACCAATGTACATGACGATATTTCCAAGTACAAACATACAAACGATTATAATGACAAAGCAGGTTTGTATGGGTATTATTATTATTGATATTATAAAATTAAACAAAATAATAAAAGTTCAAGAATTTAATGTGTTTTTAAAGTATTTATTTTTTTGAAAGTAATTATATTTCAGTGTTCGGAAGTCAGGGGACACATTGTTGCAGCTGTTTTACGTGATATTAAATTTACAAAAGATTCTTATAATAGCTTCATTGATCTTCAAGATAAATTACATCAAAATATTGGTAGAAAAAGAACTTTGGTATCAATTGGAACACATGATCTAGATACTGTTAAAGGTCCATTTTTGTATTGTGTAAAGTCACCAGCTAATATCTATTTCAAACCACTGAATCAAGATAAGGAATATACAGGAGAAGAAATTATGAATTTGTACAGTGTAAATACTTTTATTTTTTAGTGTTTACTTAATGCAAATCTTACTTGGGGGAAAATATTATATTAATTTTTTTTTTTTTTCAGAATCATGCACAATTAAAGCAATACTTACACATTATAAAGGACAGCCCAGTTTATCCTATAATACAAGATAGCAATGGAATCATTTTGTCTCTCCCACCTATTATCAATGGAGATCATTCAAAAATTACACTCAATACTAAAAATATATTAATTGAATGTACTGCAATAGATTTAACAAAGGTACACACAAAAATATACTCTCTTCATATTTATGAGGAACAAATGAGCTAATAACAATGAATTTTGAAAATCTTTAGGCAAAGATAGTATTGGATACTATAGTCTGTGCTTTTAGTCAATATTGTAAAACAAAATATACAATAGAAATGGTGAAAATCATACATCCTAATGAACAAGTATTTCATTATCCTGACTTAAAGTACCGAATTGAGCATATTGATTGTGACAAAGCAATAAAATATATTGGTATAAAACAAACACCACTGGAAATAGCTAACTTACTTACTAGAATGTCTTTAAAATCTCGTGTCAGAATTGGTAACAAATTAAATGTTCAAGTGCCTCCAACACGACATGATGTGATACATGCATGTGATATTTATGAAGATATTGCCATAGCATATGGATATAACAAAATTCAGAAAACTATGCCGTATTTATATACTATTGCAGAAGAGGTACTAGTAAATCTCAGTGATATTATTATTGTAAACTTTAATTAAAATTGAAGTTTCAAATAAAATATTTTTTATTTCTATATTAAATTTAGTTTCCACTTAACAAATTATCTGATCAATTACGCGTAGAATTGGCATGTGCAGGATTCACAGAAACATTGACTTTCTCACTGGTATGCAGAAGTTTTATTAATAGTTTCATAAATATTAATCAATTGTAATTAATTCAGCACTTTTTTCTTATAGTGTTCATACGAGGATATAACAGATAAATTAAATCATGAATTATTACATATATCAGCAGTTCATATATTGAATCCCAAAACATCTGAATTTCAGGTATGTGGACAAATTTGATTAGAAGATTAACCTTTTTATTACCAAAAGTGACTGTAATCATTTGTTAAAATCTCACATTCGTTAAGAATTCTGATAATACAGTTGCCCTATATAACAATACAGTGATCAACTTCATCATAGTACAAGGGTAAATTTTTATACAAAAGATGAAACTAATATTTTGTCTTATATAACAATGTTATAGGTTGCACGAACTACTTTAATACCAGGGTTATTAAAAACATTAGCTGCAAATAAAAAGATGCCGCTTCCTCACAAATTATTTGAAGTTTCTGACATAATATTAAAAGATAATAAGATAGAAATTGGTGCGCGTAATAGACGACATTTATGCGCGATATATTGCAACAAATCTGATGGTTTTGAAATAATTCATGGTTTATTAGATAGAATATTACATATATTAGAAGTACCACGAAGTGTTAATAAAAGTAAAGGTGGATATTTTCTTCGTGCTCTCGATGGTAAAGTATTATATGAAAAATTATATAAATCATATGAAAATATAAAAAAATGTGAATTATGTAGTTTTAACATATTATATTATCTATTTCTATGTTTATATTCCTTTTTCCAGATCCCACTTTTTTCCCTAATCGTTGTGCAGAAATATTATGTTATGGTAATATAATTGGAAAAATGGGGGTTCTACATCCAAATGTAATTTCAAAATTTGAACTAAATACACCTTGCTCTGTATTAGAAATTAATATTGAGACCTTTTTATAAGAAAGTTATAAAAACTATTGTTAACAACAATAAATAAAACTTTATCTCTTATTACTTTATTATTAAACAAAAGCCAATTAAAATATATCAATACAGTAAACATAAATATTAGATTATAGTTATTTAAGCTGATGTCCAAATTGAATATGTTTAGAAAAACAACAAAGGACGGAAACAATTTCAACAAGTATTTCATGTTTTAATTTTTTAATCTATATTATGACATAAGTTTGTATAATTCTCATTAAATACAAAAATATTTGCGAATGAACAAGTTAAAATTTCCCGCCACGGAAAACGAAAGATGGCATATCGAATCGTATGCAATCATATAGATGGTTGAAGAGGCATCCGGGAGACTCACTGTCGGCCATAGTAGAAATGGCGGGTGTTAGCTTACGTGAATGACGGCGATCGTGCTCAAGATTATTATCGAAAAGCAAGTGTTCTGTGTGTGTTTTGTAACACGGGAACGATACCTTAGTATCATATGATTCATCTGGAAGGTAAAGATGCAGAATGTAGCACAAGGAACGACCTCGGATAGTCAGAAGCACGAGAAATTAGCAAGCGTTCACCACGACATTGGAAAGACGTCGTCGACTCCCCAGTCTTCGAATTCCAGCCCTACGAAGTCAGAAACCGAAACCTTCTCCGAATTACAGCCGCGCTTTATGGCAGACTCGTCGGAGAGTGAAGAGGACAGTGTTTCAGAGGTAAACCGTGTCAAAAAAACATGCCACATCGTAAATAAGATATTCGTGCAATAAGAGGTTGAACGCACGCATGTACGTATGCACACACACGCACGAACTCGTCTGTCGCTTCTGTCGTCTATCCAGTTACCATCCCTCCTCCCCCCTTCCGTCTTCTTCCTCTTGTTCTCCTTTCTTACATATTTGCTCTCGCTCTTACCTGTTTCTCTTCTTGCATGTGTACACATACACACACGCGCGCGCGCGTGTACGTATGTATATACGCATAGTATATACATATATGTACGCACACGTCAGCTTTTGATAGAATATATTCAAAATCGGTGTTAATCTTATTTGACATTTTCTAATTTTATTGCAAATCTGCGTACTATAGCTTTATAATAATATAGATACTCTAAAATCTAGGTCTAGTAAAAAATGATTGATTCGTGTACATATTAATTTTTAGCTTTAATACTTATATTCAATTCTGTGTTTTCACATGTTTTATATTTATATTATAATAAATAATATCTAAGAAGAAATTACATACTTAAATAAACGTTACGAAATTGACGAAGTTATAACCTAATGTGCATTGTCGTATGAAAAACAGTACCGAATTGCTCTATCGTAGGACATCTTGTAGTCAAACTTACAGTATTAAATAAAAATCAATGAATAATTTATACATCTAAAAAATAAGATATAAGATTGCAATAAAAGATTGCTATATTGCAAAATTTGAATTCAGTCTTGAGTAGATGCTAGTAATATAATCGCTAAGTTTATACTCTGATATGAATTTTGCATAGATTCCTTAACAGAAGAAAGGAAGAAAGAACAACATAGGAATTTACGCAGGGTCGTTATATAATCGAAATGTGTGTGTTAGTAGCTAATGGAACGTCACTGTGTATTGTAGTGTAGAAAACAATTATGCTGTTCTTTTATCTTCTAAAATATACCTATTATCATTCTGGATTTTTGTCAAACTTCATGACTTGTCTTCCATGGATTTTCCTAAAAATTCATTGGTTAATTAAGTTTTCGATATAAGATGAAATGCATATAAAATATGATATCATCAATAATAAAAAATTGATATAACATTTATTTTGTTTTTATAATCTTAAGTAGCTTACGTACCTATATGTGTGAACGTTGAATAAAGCATTCCGGTTAACTGCACTGCATAATCAAGCGCGTGCGCATGCACGTGTACGTCCATGCATATGCCTACACAAGTAGGCATTTATGCAGATACACGTATATCTATTGTACATATATGTATGCTTTTCATTGAACTAGTAATCTTGTATGTAGTATGTTCGCGCGTGCGAGCTCTCGCATGTGCCTGTCCTCTATACACATATTTGTATGTGTGTAGCTATTTTACGTCCGCTTGCACTACGTTGTGCGCCACCCAGCGGAGTTCCCTTCGGTCGTGTTTCTCGCGTATTCGTGCGAGTTCGTGAGCCTGTTTGTCTGCTTACCATACCTTTACCTCCTCTATACGTTTATAGGTGTATTTCTTACTTTATTGTAACACTTAAATCTTTCTATAATACTGTCAACGAGGTTTCAGCTCTATCCTTGCTTCTGTTCCTGCCGGTTACTCGGCTCTCCTTGTCGCTCGTGTTCGTGGCGTGGAAATTGTAGAGAGCAGAGCCACCATATTATTCTATATTCTACCAACAGTGGGTCTTGTACAGAGTTCTTTTTTGTCTCAATTTTTTATCTGAACAATTATATTGGTTAGTACAACGTGTGCTTATATGACCAGTGAATACGCGACTATTTTTCTTTACTTTGGTTTCGATAAAACAAACGGAACGCGTTCAAACGTACGCAGAGAGTATAGCAAGGAAGTGTCAGTTTCATCCTTCTTGGAATGGCTGCACATTGTTCTTATGTCTCTGTATTCAGTGGCAAGCCGTTTTAATCACTTACTGAAGATAAAATACTTTCACCTACATTCTAATTTGCGTTTATGTCTCATTGGTTCCCACACGTCGCGCAAGAGGATATGACCTCTACGCGAGATGTACGTACTATGATTTAGAAGAACTAAAAATTATAATTTATTTCTAGAAATGTTGAAAGGTTTAATTTTGAATTTTTTGTAATTATAATAACGATGTTGTTTGTATAATTTTTACAGTTCGTGTTGCTTTTACTTTATTTTTCTCGTTCGCTTTTCTTTCATATTTGACAAATATTTTTTCAATACTTCTTATTTCATTTAATTTCTCTGTTCGCTTTTTGTGTTATATTTATATATAATTTATTTTCTATTTTTGTTTTTTTTTTCACTTTTCGCTTGGTTTTTTGATAAGGTGGAGGGGATTTTATGTTATACAATAACCTCAATTACTATTGTTCGTATTCCTCTATCGTAAATTTACTCCATAAAAATGTTGATTTTTTATATTAATAAAACCTAGAATTAATGTGCATAATACTTTTCAAATTTTATTTTATAAATCAATTATGAAAATTAAGTAAAATTAATGTATTAAAGAAAAATGACTCAGCAGCTTTAGATGAATTTTTATAATTATTTCATACTCTACCTTTTAAGATGAAGAATAAGATGGAATCTTAGTTTTATGTATATAATTTTTTCCTTATGTATTCAGTTTACGATATGTATATGTATCAAGTAAATATTATATATAGTTATAATAATAATAAGAATATATCAGTTTATATTTAGTACTTTTGACTCCTTTAATAAATTTATGTAAAATGAAGAAAATGCAATTATGTTATTACAATATATTTTAAAAGTAAAAACTGACAATAATCTTGATGTGTATACTTTTATGCGTGTGTGTGCTTGTTCATTCATGTGTCAAATAAATATCTACTATATTTATATACCTTGATTGTTAGATGTAAACCGTTTATATATAAATTAATTTCATAGAAGAAAATGCTCTTTTCTTATATTGCAGGTGGAGTGTTTCGCAATTGATCAAGTTGAATTAGACGAAGGTCATCATTTAGAGTCATCCAAGCTCCTGTTAACTTCTGAAGATCCAGAAAGATCTGTGGATCCTGAAACTCAAGCTCGATTAGAATCATTGCTGGAAGTAGCTGGTATTGGCAAGTTGTCATCAGGCGATGGGAAGCACTTGCCTGATCACGAAGTGCTCCGTCGCATAACATCTAGTGTTTCTTGTGCATTAGATGAAGCAGCAGCTGCATTGACTCGTATGCGCAACGATAATTCACGCACACAAAGCGAAAAGCGCGCTCTTGTAGAAGCTTGCACTGACGGGGACGTAGGCACTGTTAGAAAATTATTAACAGAAGGACGCAGTGTTCACGAGACTACAGAGGACGGAGAGAGTTTGCTCTCTCTTGCCTGCTCAGCTGGATATTACGAACTTGCTCAGGTTTGAACTTTATTTAATTTCTCATTTGTGTTTTATGCACTTATAAAAGTGTATATACTCGTGCGCATGCGTACGCGTATATAAAAGTGATATTTTTTTGAATTACTTTATTCATAGCAATTATATGTATGCGTGTGGTTCATGTACAAATACAATACTAATAGAAAAATCTTTGCGATTTGCCTTGCCTTTTCAAATATGCGTAGAAAAATATTAGAAATTGTTCCAGTATAGTAATTAATTAGAAATATTAAAGATAATTAAAATGCATACAAAATTTTTACTTCCTGTTATGTAAGAATAAAGTGAAATGTATCATTTTTTTGGTTATAGTACTATTTTATTTGAACAATTCCGTTATAAACAGGTACTTTTGGCAATGAGTGCAAACGTAGAAGATCGTGGCATAAAGGGGGACTGTACCCCTTTAATGGAGGCTGCCAGTGCAGGACACGTAGATGTTGTAAGCTTGCTTATTGCTCATGGAGCTGATGTTAATGCTCAATCTACTGGAGGTATGAAATGTAGTTAAAATACTCATATTTATAATTTATAATAATTCTTGTTTCTGTCTATTATTTTCATATATTACATAAATTTTAAATAGTTGAAATTTCTAAAGTAATATGTTTTAACGTCACTAATATCTAAACATGCTAATGGGTAAATCAGTTTGTATATGTTTTCAGGTAATTCGCCTCTTATATATGGATGCGCGGGTGGTCATGAGGAAGTAGTACGAGTATTATTAGAAGCAGGTGCCAATGTGGAAGATCATAATGAAAATGGCCATACACCTTTAATGGAAGCAGCTAGTGCTGGACATGTTCAGGTTGCCAAAATGTTACTGGAACATGGTGCTGGAATTAATACTCATTCCAATGAATTTAAAGAATCTGCATTAACATTAGCCTGTTATAAAGGTCATTTGGAAATGGTTCGTTTTTTACTAGAAGCTGGCGCGGATCAGGTACTTGATGTCATTATAATTGTTTTATGGTATTAAATATTTCAAATATAATTTGAAACATATTACTTTATAGGAGCACAAAACTGATGAAATGCACACTGCCCTTATGGAAGCATCAATGGATGGCCATGTAGAAGTAGCTCGTTTACTCTTAGATTCGGGTGCGCAGGTGAATATGCCAACAGACAGTTTTGAATCACCATTAACTTTGGCTGCTTGTGGAGGTCACGTTGATCTTGCTATGCTCTTAATTGAACGGGGCGCTAATATCGAAGAAGTAAATGATGAAGGTTATACACCGTTAATGGAAGCAGCGCGTGAAGGTCACGAAGAAATGGTTGCTTTGCTTTTGAATCAAGGTACATCATAGATTTCATTTACAAATGACGTATAATTAGTTAAGGAATTTTCAAATAAAATTTGTATATCTTGACATATAGGGGCGAATATCAATGCTCAAACTGAAGAAACGCAAGAAACAGCACTTACTTTAGCCTGTTGCGGTGGCTTTCTAGAAGTTACTGATTTTCTAATTAAAGCAGGAGCTGACATTGAGTTGGGTGCCTCTACTCCACTAATGGAGGCTGCGCAAGAAGGTCATTTAGAACTTGTTCGTTACTTACTTGAAGCTGCAGCAGATGTTCATGCTCAAACACAAACAGGAGATACTGCATTAACATATGCTTGTGAAAATGGTCATACTGATGTTGCAGATCTTATACTTCAGTTTGGTGCTGATTTGGTATGTTTTTCTTCAATGAATATAGTTTTAAAGAATATATAGTGTAATTGGTCATTTTATAATATTTATGTGCCTTTTTTTATATGTAGGAACATGAATCAGAAGGAGGAAGAACACCGTTGATGAAGGCATGCAGAGCTGGTCATCTCTGTACAGTTCAGTTTCTTATATCGAAACGCGCAGATGTTAATAGGCAAACAACGAATAATGATCACACTCCCCTTTCGTTAGCTTGTGCTGGCGGACATCTTCCAGTAGTAGAACTTTTACTTGCACAGTCTGCTAATCCGTTTCATAAACTGAAGGTAAGTGGTATATAATTGCCGTAATTTCTTTCATATCAGTATGATAAAATTTTTTATTTTGGTGTAGGATAATTCTACGATGTTAATAGAAGCTGCAAAAGGTGGACATACCAGTGTAGTTCAACTTTTGTTGGATTACCCACACAGTATTATGATGAGTACACCTCACAATGCAACACCTACACCTATGTTGCTCCCACAACAACAACAGCAACAGCAGCCACACCAACAACAGCATCAACAACAACAGCAGCAACAACAACAACAACAGCAACATATTACGCATCAACAACATGTACCCCATCAACAACATGCGTCTACACAACCACAATCGCATCAACAACAACAACAACACGCTACAGATCAATCACAAGCGCAAAATCTTCAACCTAAACATAATACACAAAAATCGTTGTTGCGAAAAAATCGATCGGTAACCATGATGTCAGATATGAGTCTTACTTCTGCCGAAGCGCAACAAGTTCGATCTCAGCCCGCAGGAGAATCAGTTGTTACAACTAAAGATGACACTAATATTTTGGATAAAGGTAGTGGAGGATTTACCAATCTTTCAGAACCTAACATCAGCCTTAGTCCTGCCCCAGCACCAACACCAGGGTTAAATGTCTCGGAAAGCCGTAAGACAACAAGACAAGAGCAGATTCTTCATAAACAACAAATTTTTGAGGAATTACAAGTAAGTCTTAATTACTTGAGCTTTTTTTTTTGAGAATACTATTATTATAAATATTTTTAGAGGGTAGAGAGAGAACTACAAATTAAGGGTCCAGGACATTGGTTCTGTAGTGCAAAGAATCCTGTTGTAACTCAACAGCAACAACAGCAACCGGAAGATTCTAGTAAATCAGATACATTGTCATCAGGTATGTTTTAATATGCTTTTTTTAATTTCTATTATTTATAATTATATTGCGTATAAAACATTTCTAATATCGGTGCTTTAATTCAAAGGTTTAGTTTGCAGTACAAGCGGCATGTCTGGAAATTCATTAACTCATCAAGGTACTAGCCAGGCAATGATACTATATGATGCATTTCTCTCAGGAAAACGATTTGCACAAGCTCAGTTTTCACAACAAATACTTTCTACAACAAATACTTTCCCT